TTCCCTGGGCCACTTCCCCACTGCCCCAGCACCTCCTTTGCACTCACCTTAGTGCCCTCAGCTGCTCAGTCCCAGCAGCCAGCCAGGAGCTCCCTCCCGCTCTCCTGGTCCCTGCTAGCAGCTGCTCTGTCCAAAGTAGTTACAGGTCTCTCAGCCCTCCAGGGACACGGTTTTCACTCCCAGCAGCAACTGACTACCTCTGGCCCTGCAGCCCTTTTTATGTGAGCCTGCTGGACCCTGATTGGCTGCTCCTCGCAGCCTCTCTTCTATTGGTTGCTTCCCACACAGCCTCCCTAGGGCTCTATTAACCCCTTTTATGCCAGTGTGGGGTAAACACCGTATCATACTCTGCTATTGCTGTCAATCTAATGAGAGTCTGGCTTAGCTCTCCAAGACTATATTTTGCAACTATGGTGTAAGTCCATGACTAGAGAGGCAACTAAAAGCACTGCCCTAAACAGCCTGATTCTGGTACAAGTTTGGCAGGTCTCAGGGTGGCTGATTGGACCATGGGCTGGGCCTGTGTTTCTCCAGCAGTGAGGCTGCAAGTGACAGTCAACTCCAGAGACAGACGCTGCCCTTTCTATCTTTGCTGTTCTCTTCTTTCCTCTTTTAGAACATAGAACATAAGAACGGCCATACTGTGTCAGACCACAGGTCCATCTAGCCCAGTATCCTGTCTTCCGACAGTGGCCAATGCCAGGTGCCCCAGAGGAATGAACAGAACAGGTAATCATCAAGTGATCCATCCCCTGTGTGTGCTTGTGTGTGTTTGTCTTGTATTCTGAGCATGGGATTAGACTGTAACAACAGCAGCAACACTGACAGCTGCAGCCCATCTCAACTAATTTCCCCCCAAAGGACAGTAAATACAATTTTTCATACTAAGGGCTGGTCTACACTGGGGTGGGGGGGTCGATGTAAGATACGCAACTTCAGCTACGGGAATAGCATAGCTGAAGTCAACGTATCTTATTTCGACTTACCTTCCGTCCTCACAGCGTGGGATCGACGGCCGCGGCTCCCCCGTCAACTCCGCTACCGCCGCTCACCCTGGTGGAGTTCCAGAGTCGACGGGAGCGCGTTCGGGGATCGATATATTGCGTCTAGACGAGACGCGATATATCGATCCCCTATAGATCGATTACTACCCGCCGATTCGGCGGGTAGTCTGGACGTACCCTAAGAGACTGCCACATAGGGGGTGGGTGGGTGGGAAGGGAGGGTTCCTTTTAAAGACTTTCTCCAGCTAAGGGATCAAGGGTTAGTGTTAAAATGACAACCTTATTTAATACTTTACATTGCTAATGCTAATTGTTTTCCCTCTTGTTCTATAGCCTTAATAAAAGGTTATTAAGATTTTTAATGGTGGGTTTGCCGGGGGGCTAAGCAGGCTGAGGTCTATATACTTGGAACCCTGAACCATGTTTAAAACCATGACTAGTGTACAGTGAACCTTGGACCCAGGGAGCGGCATGCAGATAAGAAATCAGAAGCAGGGCTTCACTTCCGCACTGAGCTGCCCTGACACACGCAGAACCAGAGGACACATCTGGGAGGGAGCTGCAGATGGTGCTTCTTCCCACAGCCTGCAAGCTAAGTGACAGGCTTTCCCTGGGCTCTTTCCATCTCCCTCCCCCACAGAGGAGAGCTGGGGAGTTGAGATCGGGGACGAGGTGGGGGGAGAATCTCCCTGAAGTGCAGCTTTCCGGGTGGGAGGCAGATTGAAAGTGAATGTGAGGGGCTGGGCGGGAGGAGGCAGTGCAGTCTGTGATGCTGCAGCAGGGCTTTTTCATCCTCTGCCAAGGAGTCTGAGACATTTACATGAACTCAGCGAAGGAGGTCAGAAAACAGGCCTGAGTCAGCCCCCGAGGGCTCTCTGAAGGGGACAGGGGACCAGGACTACACCCAGCCCTGATGTACACAAGTGGAGCTGCACTGAAATCCAGGTGAATTGCACCTGTTGATGCCAGGGCTCACTTTGCCCTTGTCCCATGAAGTCTGAAGAGTCTGAGGAGCTGTCTGAACAACCCCGAGAGTGTTTTTCATTTTGGTTGCTTTGAGTTGTCCCCCCAGAGCGGGCTGTCATCTGCTGAGCCAGTTCAGATTCACACGGGGACTGTGCTGGGCCTGGCTCCTGAAGCCCAGAGAAAATCTATGTGGGGAGAGCAGGTTACAACGGGGACCCCCCCGTGCAAATCATCTTTCCAGGCCCTATGGCACAAACTGGGATGATCTAGCTCCTGGGTTTTTTCTCTACTATTTCGAAAACAAAACACGATGCCTCCCAAAGTCCCGAGCTCTGGAAGTTTTCTCAGAGACAGAGAGATTCACCCCTAGAACTCAAGTATCAAAGGGGTAGCCGTGTTAGTCTGGATCTGTAAAAGCAGCAAAGAGTCCTGTGGCACTGTATAGATAGGCTACGTCTTCACTACCCGCCGATCCGGCGGGTAGCAATCGGTTTATTGGGGATCGACTTACCGCGTCTCGTGAGGACGCGGTAAAATCGATCCCTGATGGCTCTACCGTCGACTCCGGAAATCCACCTCGACAAGAGGCGGTAGCGGAGTCGGCGGCAGCGCGGCAGCGGTCGGCTTTCCCCCGTCCTCACCACCAGGTAAGCCGACCTAAAATACGCAACTTCAGCTACGGTATTCACGTAGCTGAAGTTGCGTATCTTAGGTCGGAACACCGCTGTAGTGTAGACCTAGCCTATAAGGTGCCACAGGACTCTTTGCTACCCCTAGAACTGCGGAGGTGCACTGCAGGAGGAGACGGCAAAGGGGCTGCACAAGGTCCAAGTGCAGAGTGAGAAACTGCAGGAAAAGCAGAAATGGTGGGAAAAGAGCAACCTGGTGGGCTTGCTTCCCCACCGATGTAAATCAGGAGTAACATCACTGGAGGGAACAGAGTTAAACTGGGGCAAAACCAGGGTGAGAGATGACACCAGCCAAGTGGGCTAGCAAGGAATTTTGGATAACAAAGAGCATTTTTAGTCCAGGGCTGCTGCCAGCACTGGCACCAGGACAGAGTGGAGGTGGTTTTCAGGCTGATTTGGCCCCCAGGATAGGTTAAGGTAGCCCTGAGGTGCTGCTTTAAATTGCACCATGGTTGCAATGGCCCCGGTGTGCTTTCTTCTCCACATACTGCCCACGGGCCATTCTGCCCCGGCCTGCCCTGGAGCATCCCTTGTGCTGGGGCCTCCTGCTCCTGGGCTGCGGGGCAACAGCCCATGAACTGGGCCGAATAAACCTGATTCTTTGCCTTGTTCTGCTTACACCCGTGCGCAATGAGTGCAAATCCTATCAACTCAGAGTTGTCTTATGACACATACACCTGGGAAGCATTTGCACCCACTATACACGTGTACACAGCTGTGGCAGGGTAAACCAGGCCCAGTTTATCACTTGTTCACAACAGAGATGATCACAGGTACAAGGAACTTAGTCCTCCCCTGGTGTAAGCTGATGGTCGCCATGTTGGCCAACACACCAAGGACTGAACCAGGGACATCTAGAGCTGAAAAAAAGCATGACCAAGTACAGGTCCAAAGTGTTGTAGCTGGGGTCTGTAACACCGCATATCCTTTGCAGATCAGCACAGTGGGAACTTGAGATACACACTCATCACTGGATTACATGAGCCCAGGGAAGTGCATGGAGTGACACTTGGATAGATTTGACCATTGAGTTAGAGCAAATGAAAGGGAATGACAGGGAACGGAAATGTGTTCTATTTAGGATGGACCATTTAATATAAAGCATTCTGTAGACCACAGTTCTCCACTCAAAACCTGATGCAGTCAGAACCCACTTTGATTTAACAAAGTTATCTTGCCAGAAGGACACCTCTTTTGCAAAGGTGGAAGGTTGGCCCCAGCAGGGATTGGTTAACTCATTGCTCAAGCACTATGGAGCCGTTCACCTGCAGGTTTCCGGTTCGATTCTTACCCAGCACAACTAGGATTAAAAGTTATTCCCATCTAATGGCTGTCTGGGGGCCTGGAGACGAGTTTGGTGGGTCCAAATTCCAGCTCCCACATCAAGGTGCTTAGCATTGGATTGTGAGATGTACCTGCGCTAGCTTTGATTGAGCTAGCATGCTAAAAACAGCAGTGTAGCCGCAGTGGCACAGGCTAGCTAACCAGGAACATACCTAGGGGCTCAAACAGGATGTACTCAGATGGCCAGCCTGCGTTACCACCCTCAGGTCACTGGTTGCACTTCTAGTTTTAGTGCACTAGCTCGCTCAGGGCTAGCACATGTAGGTCTACCCAAGCTGGACATTACACCTCCTGCTGCAGTGCAGATGTACCCTGTATCTTCCTATGTGTTTGTACAGTGCCCAGCACAATGGGGTCCCAATCGTGGGTGGGTCCTTTAATGAGAGCTCCTGCAGCAGCAGCTGAAAGCTAGTGCTGTATCCTGAATGGACTGTACAGCACCAGAATGCCCCCGCACCCTCCATGCAGCATGACCTCACATGTGTGTTGAGTGCAAGGACATACTGTGTGAGCAAAATGGCAGCCTCCATGCGGCAAAAGTGCTGGAATGCCGTTCTGGCACATTCCAGCTTCATCACCCCTGTGGCTGAAACTGCCTAAGTGTGAGAGTTGCCTGCACTAGGTGTCACACCCAGTAGGGCTGGTGGGAGACGGTCAGCAATCCGCAGACAGACCAAACCCCATGATGTCATCTTTTTTTTATTCCATCATGTCTGAGCCAATCTTATAGGTTTTGAACTTTTGGGGTTAGCAATACTGCGATTCGTAGAGCTTCGTAGAGCTCTCTGAGGTTTGTGAATGAGAATCCCGGGATAGATGCTGAGTGTTATTAACTCAGAGACAAGAGCCCTTTATGGAGGGCATCAACCGTCATCATAGATTTCGCCGAAGATGGAAAACATTAAGAACAAGTGTGAGACTGTCTCAGCTGTAGAGCGATATGATCTCCCTGCCTCTGTCTGATGTACATTTTCCTCTCCATAAACTTTCCAGAGAGACAACGGCACAGAGGGAGTAAAATGGCTTCCAAACAAAGGCCTATGGTGACTGAAGGTGAGTGTGACTGATGGGCATATCTCATTATCAATCAAGAATTAAAGGAAAGTAATATAATTAATATCAATCAACATGGGTTTATGCAAAAGAGATCCTGTCAATCTAACTCGATATCTTTTTTGATGAGATTACAAGTTTGGTTGATAAAGGTAATAGTGGTGATGTCATATAATTAGACTTCTGTAAGGCGTTTGACTTGCTACCTCATGATATTTTGATTAAAAAACTAGAAAGATATAAAATTAACATGGCACACAGTTAATGGCTTAAAAACTGGCTAACTGATAGGTCTCAACATGTGGTTGTAAGTGGGGAATCATCGAGCTGCTGTGTTTCTAATGGGGTCCCGCAGGGATCAGTTCTTGGCCCTACGCTGACAGTTTTATCAATGACCTGGAAGAAAATATAAAATCATCATTGATAAAGTTTGAAGATGACACAAAAATTGGGGGAGTGGTAAATAATGAAGAGGACAGAACATGGTAAGCTTGGTGCAAGCAAACAATATTCATTTTAACATGGCTAAATGTATACTGTGACAAAGTTCCTCCTCTATCTTGGTGGGTCCTGCGCTTATTGGCGGATTTTCTTGCCTCAGAGATTCACCATGTGGGTTGGGGAACAGCCCAGAGACCTTCCACTCTGGAAGAACCCACAGTCCAGGTCAATTGAGAGGTTTGGGGGGAACCCGGGCCCGCCCTCTACTCCGGGTTCCAGCCCAGGGCCCTGTGGACTGCAGCTGTCTATAGTGCCTCCTGTAACTGCTGCATGACAGCTACAACTCCCTGGGCTACTTCCCCATGGCCTCCTGCAAACACCTTCCTTATTCTCACCACAGGACCTTCCTCCTGGTGTCTGATAACGCTTGTGCTCTTCAGTCCTCCAGCAGCACACCCTCTCACTCTCAGCTCCTTGCGCCTCTTGCTCCCAGCTCCTCACACTCGCACCACAAACTGAAGTGAGCTCCTTTTAAAACCCAGGTGCCCTGATTAGCCTGCCTTAATTGATTCTAGCAGCTTCTTCTTAATTGGCTCTAGCAGGTTCCTGATTACTCTAGTGCAGCCCCTGCTCTGGTCACTCAGGGAACAGAAAACTACTCATCCAGTGACCAATATATTTGCCCTCTACTAGACTCCTGTACCCCACTGGTCTGGGTCTGTCACAATACATATAGGAACAAAGAATGTAGGTTGTACTTACAGGATGAGGGACTATTCCCTGGGAAGCAGTGACTCTGAAAATGATTTGGGGGATTATGGTGGATAGTCAGCTGAACACAAGCTCCCAGTGGGATGGTGTGGCACAAAGGGCTAATGCGATCCTGGGATGCATAAACAGGAGAATCTCGAGTAGGAGTAGAGAGGTTATTTCATCTCTATAGTTGGCATTGGCCTGGTGTCCACAATTCAGGAAGGATGTTGATAAATTTGAGAGGATTCAGAGAAGAGTCATGAGAATGATTACAGGATTAGAAAACAGGCCTGATAGTAAAGTATCAGAGGGGTAGCCGTGTTAGTCTGTATCCACAAAAACAACGAGGAGTCCGGTGGCCCCTTTAAGACTAACAGATTTATTTGGGCATAAGCTTTCATGGGTAAAAACCCACTTCTTCAGATGCATGGAGTGAAAATTACAGATAGAGGCATAAATATATATTGGCATATGAAGAGAAGGGAGTTACCTTACAAGTGGAGAACCAGTGTTGAAGGCCAATTCAATCAGGCTGGATGTGGTCCACTCCCAATAATTGATGAGAGGTGTCAATACCAAGAGAAGGAAAATTGCTTTTGTAGGTCTGATAGTTATTTACTCAAGGAGCTCAATCTATTTAGTTTAACAAAAAGAAGGTGAAGGGGTGACTTCATCACAGTCTATAAATATCTACATGGGGAGCAGATATTTAATAATGGGCTCTTCAGTCTAGCAGAGAAAGGTCTAACACGATCCAATGGCTGGAAGTTGAAGCTAGATCAATTCAGACTGGAAATAAGGCGCGCATTATAACAGTGAGAGTAATTAACCACTGGAACAACTTACCATGGGCTGTGGTGGATTCTCCGTCACTGACAGTTTGTAAATGAAGACTGGATGTTTTTCTGCTCTAAGAATTATTTGGGGGAATTCTGTGGCCTGCATCGTACCAGAGGGCAGATTGGATCATCACAGTGCTGGCCTTGGAATCTACGAATCATGAACAAAGCGGCACTGCTCCTGCAATAGAGCTCAGCCCCACTGCCATAGCCCCTGCCCCATTCCTTACAGCGCTTCCTCCTAAGGGACTATGCCTAAGGGTGCAGAATGCAGCAGCCCATCTCTTAGGTGATGCTCCTTGGTGGCAGCATGTTTTACTTGTGCTCTGATCTGTTCTGGCTACTGATTGGTTTGTGGTTGAATAAAGTAAGGTGCTGGATCTGACGTGTGAACTCCTAGGTGGGGAGTGATCCCCTTTCTCCTTGTACCAGATTGGCACAGTGGTTATAGGCAGAGGCGCCTGAGCTGGTCCCCCTTGGTTTAAAAGAGAGGGGGCTGGCAGCTGAGCACTCCCTGTGAGGGGCCCTCCACTGCAAGAAACATCTATTTACATGGGCCGTGGGGCAGGGACGTCTTTGTGAAAAACCAGGGGGCAGAAGGGAGTTTGGTGCTCAGTAGGTGATCTCATGTTGATTTCAGAATATCTGGTTGGGGCAACTATGAGTATTATTTATTATTAAGGCTAAGATTTTGTCATGGATGTTTTTAGGAAAAGTCACGGGCAATAAAGAAGAATTCACGGAAGCCCGTGACCTGTCACTGACTTTTACTAACAATATCCATGATAAAATGGGAAGGGACTGGGCAGCTGTGGGGTGGCTGGGAGCTCTGGGGCCCCCACCACCCGTGGGGGCTCAGAGCTCCAGGATTCCCCTGCCCCCTGTGGTGGAGAGGAGCTTCAGGGTCCCCCTGCTCCTTCCCCGGGAGCTGCGGGAATCTCCCTGCCTCCACCACAGTAGGGAGCCGCAGGGTCCCCCTGCCTGCTCCCCAGTGGTGGGGAGCTGCGGGAATCCCCCTGCCGCCACCATATATTGGAGCTGTGGGGATCACCATGCCCCATGGCAGTGGTGGGGAGCTGCTAGGATCCTCTTGCCCCATGGCGGCGGTGGGGAGCTGCCAGGATGCCTTTTCCCCCATGGCTGTGGTGGGCAGCTGCTGGGATGCCCCTGCCCCATGGCGGGAAGCTGCGGGGTTTCCCTGTCCTGCGAAGGCAGGGAGCTGCTGGGATCCCACTGCCCCATGGCAGCATGGCAGTGGTGGGGAGCTGCCGGGATCCCACTGCCCCATGGTGGCGGCCGGGAACTGCCAGGGTCCCCTTGCCGCTGCAGTTGGCGGTGAGCTGTGGCATACCCCTGTTGCCCATGGCGGATGGGAGCTTGGGGGCACTGCTGCCTCAGGCGGCGGGGGTACCTCACAGCTCCAGGCAGTGGGACCGTGCAGCTCCCAGCCGCTGGGGTGAAGTTACAGAGGTCTTTGGAAGTCATGGATTCCGTGGCTTCTGCAACCTCTGTGACAAAATTGTAGCCTTATTTATTATCTGTATTATTGCGGTGCCTAGGAGCCCCAGTCATGGATCCCCAACCCATTGTGCTAGGTGCTGTACAAACTACAGCCTTAGATATGAGCCACTTCTAAGCTTTTTAATACAACAAATAGTCTCATCTGGGCAAAGGCTGGGAGGAGAGTATCTGTGAGCTCCCCACAGCTTGTGCTCCTGCCCCACTCCCTACTGCATCACCTGCTGTGACCACAGAGGAGTGTGGCTGACGGGCTCCTCTCATTATGGACCAAGCAGCACTCTGCCCGCAGTAGAGCTCAGCCCCCACAGCCAGAGGACCTGAGCTCTGGGATTAGAGATCACAGAACAGGCACGGGTCCATGCCAGTCAGTACGTGCCATGGTGTCTAAGTGCTGGTCTTCTCCACAGGTGACGTGATAGCCTTCAGCAAACACATGGATAATTATAGCCCTTGGGAGCTGATGAAGCTGAGCGAGCACTTCCGCCCCGACATGGTCTATGTGATAGAGAACGACATTCCCATTGTGCTGCAGGAACTCACCAGCAGACCCGTCATCACTGCTCAGCAGGCCCAGGTACAGCGTCCTCCGTATAACAACGGACCCCCGGCTAAAGCTGTCCGAGCTGACATTCCAATTTCCCTAGAGAAACCTTGTCCTTGGATATCAGGGCAGATAGGGTTTGCGAACACAGAGTTGTCTTTTTCCAGGGCAGGAGAGAGTCTAGGGCTGCTGCTAGCCATATATTCCTTCTGCAGAAAAGGACCTAGGGGTTACACTGGACGAGAAGCTGGATATGAGTCAACAGTGTGCCCTTGTTGCCAAGAAGGCTAACGGCATTTTGGGCTGTATAAGTAGGGGCATTGCCAGCAAATCAAGGGACGTGATCATTCCCCTCTATTTGACATTGGTGAGGCCTCATCTGGAGTACTGTGTCCAGTTTTGGGCCCCGCACTACAAGAAGGATGTGGAAAAATTGGAAAGAGTCCAGAGGAGGGCAACAAAAATGATTAGGGGGCTGGAGCACATGAGTTATGAGGAAAGGCTGAGGGAACTGGGATTGTTTAGTCTGCAGAAGAGAAGAACGAGGGGGGATTTGATAGCTGCTTTCAACTACCTGAAGGGGGGTTCCAAAGAGGATGGATCTAGACTGTTCTCAGTGGTACCAGATGACAGAACAAGGAGTAATGGTCTCAAGTTGCAGTGGGGGAGGTTTAGGTTGGATATTAGGAAAAACTTTTTCACTAGGAGGGGGGAGAAGCACTAGAATGGGTTACCTAGGGAGGTGATGGAATCTCCTTCCTTAGAGGTTTTTAAGGTCAGGCTTGACAAAGTCCTGGCTGGGATGATTTAGTTGGGGATTGGTCCTGCTTTGAGCAGGGGGTTGGACCTCCTGTGGTCCTTTTGAACCCTGATATTCTATGATAATAACAGGCTCCAGGAACTTCTGCTTGGCTTATTCTGAGCATGCTCACACAGACTAAGCATGCTCAGTAACACTACTGAAGCCAGCTGCCCTCACTCTGCTCTCTCCCTCGCCCCCCCACTATCGGCAGGTGTGGTCAAATGTTGGCTGGGTATGTGCTCTCTCTGTGTGCTGCACTGGCTCTGGCCAGCTAGCCCATACAGCAGGCTCCAATCGAACTGCCCAATAATCACAGACCCGTTAGAAGCGAAGGCACCCGGCCAGGTTTATTGTCGACAAAGCATAGTACTGGTGCCCTATACTTGCTACGAGTACACTTATGACATGTATGCCTGTGACAATGGACGCAGCTCAGTCAGTGGCAGGACTTTCCACTCCCCCCTAAGCCAGCCAAAGACACTCCCTCTGAGATACCTTTTTATACCCCAATACAAACAAGCTATGTATTGCCTGTCTGACTAAGTTAGTTACTGCCCCCTCAGGTGGTTTGTTACCACCCATTACCTTGTACTTGTTGGTTTGATCAAAACATCTCTGTCCATCACACTGGGGATCAGTGTGTCCTTGTATCAGCTTTGAGGAGTATTTGTATCATCCTTCGTATCGGGGTGTTCTGGTGCCACCCTTCTGGAATGTGTTCGCGTGGGTGTCCTGTGCCTAGCACTTCTCAGGAATGTGTGTGTTTTTGTAAAACCAGCCCTGTTCTTGCCAGGTTCAGTGAGCCTGCACGCATGCAGAGCCTGACTTCTGCTCACAGCCTGTCTCTTGCTAACTTTGCTTTATATTAGGAAGGCTTGACTACTACTTTACGGGGGGGATAGCTCAATGGTTTGAGCATTGGCCTGCTAAACCCAGGGTTGTGAGTTTAATCCTTGAGGGGGCCACCAAGGGATCTGGGGCAAAATCAGTACTTGGTCCTGCTAGTGAAGGCAGGGGGCTGGACTCGATGACCTTTCAGGGTCCCTTCCAGTTCTAGGAGATAGGATATCTCCATTAATTTATTTATTTAGTTCAGGCCTCAGGCCCCATACTGGGCTCTGATACAAGACCTTGTGTCTCAGGTTCCCTTTCGGCTACAGCAGGCACGGGTCGGCTCTGTCTCTGCATGCAAGAGTGTTTTCTGAAAGAGAAACAATCCATTAATTCCATTCCATTAATTATAATTCCTGAGGAGGCCACTAGAAGGCTCTGTAAGAGTAGGACCCCTACCCCACACCTCTCCTAGCAATGGAAATGCTTCAGTGTCCCCAATCTTGGTTGATTTGAGGAGTGAGAGCTGGGGGTGGTCTATTAATGTCACATGCAGCCTTTACTCCACCACCAGGTCACTCAGCTATGACAGAGCCTTTTGTTGCCCTTATAATCATGGCCCAACTGCCCAGATGGTCACTTTTAGGAAGCAGCCCTTGGCCATAGGATGTTATGGGCCACTGATAAGGCCTCAAGTGGAGTACTGGGTCCAGTTCCGGGTACAACACATTGGGAAATATGTGGACAAATTGGAGACAGTTAAGAGGAGAGCAACAAAAATAATTGAAGGTCTAGAAACCATGACCTACTCAGAAAGATTTTTTAAAAAGGGTTTGTTTAGTCTGGAGAAGAGAAGACTGAGGGGGGACATGATAACAGTCTTCAAGTATGTAAAAGGTTGTTGTAAAGAGGAGGGTGATAAACTGTTCTCCTTAACCACTGAGGATAGGACAAGAAGCAACGGGCTTAAATTGCAGCAACGGAGGTTTAGATTGGATGTTAGGAAAACTTCCTAACTGTCAGAGTGGTTAAGCACTGGAACAAATTACCTAGGGAGGTTGTGGAATCTTCATCATTGGAGGTGTTTAAGAACAGGTTAGACAAACACCTGTCAGGGAAGTTTTAAATAATACTGAGCCCTGCGTCAGACACTGGAGTAGATGATCTATCTAGGTCCCTTCCTGTCCTTCATATCCATGATTCTATGTCACTCTTCTGATTACTTTATACAAGTCCCCCCCCCCCCCGCCATTGCAGGCTGCTTCTGAGTCTTCAGCCTCTTGTGTCCCTCTGTGTTTTAGGATTACAGTGACTGGGAGAAGAACCACGACTCAACCGGCACTGCAGAGAAGCTAGTGCGTGATATTTTCGCTGTGAGCTATGCTGCGAGGCTGGGGCTCTGGACGTGTCTGTTTGCTCTGCAGAGCAGATGGGCTCACCCCAATCTCAATGGGATGCTGGATGAAATAATTCAGAATGGTAACGTACCCATCACACAGAGTGGGGAACAAGTCAACTGGGGGAATCCATGGGAATCTATGTTCTTCACAACAGGCTCTTCCTTGTCAAGCCCTCAAATCAAGGCTGTGTTCTGTGGGGTTAGTTAATTAATCTTAAGCTATGTCTTCACTGCATGCTAAGCACGGGGAAATTTAACCTGTGGTAGCCTAACTCACCATAGTGCAGGGGTTCTCAAACTGGGGGTCAGGACCCTGCTTTGTATCCAGCATTTATAATGGTGTTAAATATATTACAAAGTGTTTTTAATTTATAAGGGGGGGGGTCAGACTCAGAGGCTTGCTATGTGAAAGGGGTCACCAGTACAGAAGTTTGAGAATCACTGCCATAGTGTGACCACATTACGGTGCTGTCATGCCCTGCGTCTGCACTGGTGCCATAGCTGGCTGCGACACAGCTACCTGGGCATGTATGCCAAGATCCATATGTGATGGTTCTTGGGGTACCCAGTACTGTAAGTCACTCCCCTGCCTCCAGCGTGAGGGAGTCTTGCTTGTGCTTAACTGGGTGTCAGCTCCCTGACACCACCAGCCTGTTGCCACCCGAGCAATCTCCTCCAGGCTATGCCAGCCCTTACATCGCCTTGCAGGCTAAGACTAGGTGCACCCCAGTCCCTGACCCCCTTTGAAGCATCCCCCTGGAGTGTCCAGCCCATCCTCCACTGAGCACTCTCAGTGATACCAGGTCTGCTGTCCCCAAGGGAACAGCATAAAGTATATCTCAGTTATGTCATATTCATATCATAAGCATATTTTCATAAAGAATATGGAATGACACATCACAGTAATCACACTGCCCAATTACTTCCTAAGTGCAGGATAAAGGGGGGGGGATCTTCCTTGCCTTCTTCTTATATCTCCCAAAGTTTATTGTTTGTCCCCAGAGTCAGGACAACCCCCATAATTTATTCTTTGGTGAGCTGCCTCCCTGTTGACTTCATATGTAAATGGAGCTTCTATTGTCTTGGCTTACAATATTTAATTTACATGTGGACAGATGAATAAACATCTTTGATCTGACAGAAAACCTATTTGTCAACTCTGGCTCGATACAGACTTTAGGAAGTATTTTCAGTGTACCTCACAACTCATAGAATCATAGAATCGTAGGACTGGAAGGGACCTTGTGATCTTCTAGTCCAGTCCCCTGCACTCAAGGCAGGACTAAGTATAATCTATACCATCTCTGATGGGTATTTCTTTAACCTGCTCTTAAAAATCTCCAATGATGGAGATTCCACAACCTCCCTAGGTAATTTATTCCAGTGCTTAACCACCCTGACAGGAAGTTTTTCCTAATGTCCAACCTAAACCGCCCTTGCTGCAATTTGAGTCCACTGCTTCTTGTCCTATCCTCGGAGGTTAAGAAGAACAATTCTTCTCCCTCCACCTTGTAACAATCTTTTATGTACTTGAAAACTGTTATCATGTCCCCCCTCAGTCTTCTCTTCTCCAGACTAAACACACCCAGTTTTTTCAATCTTCCCTCATAGGTCATGTTTTCTAGATCTTTAATCATTTTTGTTGCTCTTCTCTGGACTTTCTCCAATGTGCCCACATTTTTCCTAAAATGTGGTACCCAGAACTGGACACTATACTCCAGCTGAGGTCTAATCAGCGTGGAGTAGAGCAGAAGAATTACTTCTCGTGTCTTGCTTACAACACTCCTGCTAATACATCCAAGAACAACGTTTACTTTTTTTGCAACAATGTTACACTTTTGACTCGCATTAAGCTTGTGATCTATTATGAGCCCCCGATCCTTTCCGCAGTACTCCTTCCTAGGCAGTCATTTCCCAGTTTGTATGTGTGCAACTGATTGTTCCTTCCTAAGTGGAGTACTTTGCATTTGTCCTCATTGAATTTCATCTTATTTACTTGAGACCATTTCTCCACTTTGCCAGATCATTTTGAATTTTAATCCTATCCTCCAAAGCACTTGCAACCCCTCCCAGCTTCATATTGTCCACAAACTTTATAAGTGTACTCTCTATGCCTTTATCTAAATCATTGATGAAGATATTGAAGAGAACCGGACCCAGAATTGATCCCTGCGGGACCCCACTTGTTATGTCCTTCTCACATGACTGATAACTATTCTCAGGGAATGGTTTTCCAACCAGTTATGCACCCACCTTATAGTAGCACCAACTAGGTTGTATTTCCCTAGTTTGTTTATGAGGTCATGCAAGACAATATCAAAGGCCTTAGTAAAGTCAAAATAAACCATATCCACTGCTTCCCCTCTATCCACGAGGCTAGTTACCCTCTTCCCCCTTTGCCCCTTGAGCACTCCCTTCCTGGACTTTTCTACTTTCTGGGCTAATCCAGCCCATCTCCAATCTATCAATTATGCACAGCTTTGCACCCCCAGGTTTAGTCTGGGGCGACTGAATTGGCGATCCAGTGATCAGAGTGCTGGGCCACCTGCTGCTGCCCAGCACTCCGTCACGGGGGCAGGGAATGTGGGGAGCAGGAAGGAGATGGATGGGGGAATACAGGGGAATGTGAGGTACAGGGTAGAGCAGCCAGTAGTAGGGGAGTGAGGGCAACACAATGGTTCTTTGGGTGTGATGTCGCTGAGACCTCATTAGTCTGCAGGTCCTGATATCCAAAACATGGAGCCCCACAGGAGGAATTCAGAGATGGATTGGATCTATTGGAGCTGCTAACATACAAGAATTGGGTACACTCTTCCATGCCAGCTAACAGTGCCGTCTGTATCTTTCTCTCTGTTTAGGTCACAATCTGTTACAGGAAATTCTCCTGAATGAATCGGGACATGCCCCCGACCCAGAACTGAAAGGTACCGTGAGGAAACTGAACTGCACTTGACTCTGCCAACACTGTGTCTCTTGTCAGGCCAAGAAGGGCTCGATCACAGGTCTGCCCTGGGGGCAGTGTGGAGGCTGCTGGCCCCAGTGAGAACTCTGAGAGGCGTTGTGCTTCAATGGGGCACAGTTCCTCTTGGAGTTCTGCAGCCTGTGGGGGGAGCATGTCTTCTTCTTCCCCCTCCAAGGGGTGCAGTGTATACCCGTGTGCCCAACCAGCTCTGGTGTGCAGTACAGAGGGAGGACAGGACCATAGCCCTGCCTCCTGCCTGCTCCCCTGGGTTTTGTATCCCAGGAAGCACTAGGAGGGAGCAACCCCAGTCACACTGTCAGAAGTGGCTCATGACTGTGAGTGCGCACCTCAGGGCAGACTGTCAGAAAACAGGGCAGAGACCCCACACTGGCGGTGTGTTCTATGATTAGATTTCACCAAGCCAGTGACAAATGTGAGCTCCTGGATCACTATCCCAGTCTTACCACAGAGTCACAGACAGTCCGCTCAGACTCTCCAGTCTATCTTGCCACCCAGACAAACTAGACTTTGTGATAAAAGGTCACTTAAACCAGAAATCACACCACATCAGGTTACTGCCAGTCCCAAGAAACCAGTCACTTACCCCAGATCAATGGGTACTTTAGATCTTAGGCCAAAGACAACATTGGTAGCCAGTAAACTAAAGCTTTATTAGCTAAGAAAAGGAAATGAGAGTTATTGAAAGGTTAAAGCCAGTAAACTGCACACAGGTGAGTCACAGTTTGTAATTCCAAATGGTGGCAGCGATGTAATAAACTGCCAGTTTCCCAAAAGTCTTTTCTGGGTATCCAAATTATCTCTGGGGATCTCTGCTTTACCTCTGTCCCTCTGCTCAAGTGCAGGGATTCCGGTAAGTTTCTGTTCCCTACTGGATTACACAAGCTGGACCACGTAGTGCAGCAGTGTCCTGTCAGACTCAGGGCGAGTTCCAGTGGAACTGTTAATGACCAGGCCCAGCAGAGGAGAGAGGAGATGAAACAAACAAGTGAGTCCAGAGCATCCATCCACCTAATCCCCTCACCATATTGTCTGATCAGAGTATAATTTAGAGGAGAAGTTTTTCAATCAAACTTCCATTTACTAACCCTAATAAAATGAACAGTGATGAGACGAGGGAGAGGGGAAATAACCGTATTTCTCCTTTTCAGCTTGTCAAGTAGAGCACAAAGCCAAACTCCGTGATCTCACAGGGAGGATGAAGGAAAACAAGACCCCAGGGCAATCTGAAGGGCAGATTTTCCCCATCTCTAGCCGCTATGTGGAGCTGAAGGTGGTCTCAGACCGTCACTTCAAGAAGCAGACACACCAGGAACACGAGGCCCTGGCCGCGGCTGGGGAGCTGAATGAATATCGCCTCCAGAGGAGAATGAAGAGTGAGCTGGAGCGCATTGCCCCTGACCGGCTCTTCCGCTGGTGCTTTCGATCCCGCCGTGTCCCCCTGTCTGTGATGGTGAGCGGAGTAGCCGACGTGGGCAAGACAACCCTGGTGCAGAAATTCATCTTTGACTGGGCAACTGGGAAGCACTACCAGAAATTTGCCTTTGTTTTCTTCTTCAAGTTCCGGGAAGTGAATGAGGAAAAGATGAGTCTAGAATCTCTGATCTGTCAAACATATCCACCCCTCTGGGACAAGCTCCCAAGAGTCCTGGAAGACCCTGAGAAGCTGCTTTTCATCTTTGATGGCTTGGATGAGAGCAAGACAGATTTGAAATTAAGGAGCAGAGAAGCCCATGAGCTGTGTATGAATCCAGGGGATGTGAAGCCAGTTACTGTGATTGTCGCCAGCCTGCTGAAACAGACTCTGCTGAAGGGATGTTCTGTGCTGCTGACCAGCCGCCCCAGCAAGTTGACCAGTTTGGAGGTTGGAGTCTTCCATAGAGTGGCCAGTATCGTGGGCTTCCTCTCCAAGGAAAGGGAAAGATACTTTTCCATGTTCTTTGGAGATGAGCGAGTCTCCAGAGAGGCCTTTGCGTATGTAAGGGACAGTCAGGTTCTGTACACGCTGTGCTACAACCCGTCTTACTGCTGGATCACATGCACGGCCCTGAAACCCTGCTTCATTGCCAGGGCAGGGAGACCACAGCCTGCACCCAAAACAGTGACCCAGCTCTTTGTGAGCTACGTCACCCATATTATGGCCAATCACACCCAGGAGCGGCCTGAGCCTCAGAGGATGCGAGATACATTGATAAGTGTTGGATGGTTGGCTGAATACGGCATCACAGATCGCACACTTGTCTTTCAGCCGCATCACTTACAGGTTGCCAATGTGGAGTTTTCTCCATTCCTCACTGGCTTCTTGGTGGAGAACCCTCAAGCTGAGGGCTCTTCCCAGGTGACCTACTCCTTCCTTCACCTCACCATCCAGGAGTTCTTTGCTGCCCTCGTGCATTACCTAGATTACAAGGAGGAGAAGTTCAGAGACACAATGGCTAAAGTCAGGTCCTGTAAGGAAGGTGACTATGAGATCTTCTCTCGCTTCCTGGCTGGGCTCTCCCATCCTGCAACCAGGATGCCCCTGGAGAAATATGTGGGGCAACTCAAGTCCTCTGCAGAGGCAACTCACAAAGTTATTGGGTGGCTCAGCGAGATGAACTATGAGGAGCTGCAGAGCAGAGAAGATCCTGAGGGGAAGAGGAGGCTGATTAATGTATTGAATTTGCTGTTTGAATCCCGGAACAGCCAACTTGTGCGTGACGTGATGGGTAAAGATGCCCACGTGGACTTCTCAGAGTTATACCTCATGCCAGTGGATTGCACAGTCCTTGCTTATGTGTTGAGTTGCTGTGAAGAAATACAGCGCCTAACCCTAGATTCCTGCTTCATCCAGAACGAGGGCCTGGAGCGACTCAGACCTGAGCTGCACAAAGTCAGAGAACTGAGGTAGGAAAAGAGGTCATGTGTAAAGTTTAAAATATCAGGGACTTGACGTGTCAGTGGCCTCAGCCATGCTGTCAGGTAGACAACAGTGTTACTGATACAGAGGTTACACCATTCGATAACATACAACCAAACCCACCTATCATAATGAATATGCATATAGGGCTAATTAAGACTACGCAGACAACCTTAAAGTCTGGCATTTCCTAACTTTCGAGTGCTTGACTTTGCAACCTTCATAATGTTCTTTTAACTTAGGCCTGTGTTTTATGTGTGTGCAATTTCCTAGGTTTTAGAAAAAGCAAACAGAACCTCCCCCCCGCCCAAGAAATTCCATTGTGTGGCCTCTTATTGACAGCCACATAGGCTATTAGCAGGGTTTAGATCCATTGCACAGGCCTCTGCCACTTGACCTAACTGAGTAACTGATAGCAGTAGTAGGTTGTCACCCTCTGTGTGGCCTCTAAGGAGGATGAGACACTTTACCACTGGATTTTACAGCTATTTGCTGACAGCCGAGGAATGTTTAGACTCGGGAATCTTGGGGTCCATTCCAGACTTTGGAGGGGAGTGTGCTCTAGTGGGCACAGACTCTTCTGCTGTTTTCCTCCAACCTGTCACAGTCAGGTCAGGTCTCTTCTCTACCTGTGGTCCTTGTTCCAGTTCCATTCTCCTTGCCTACCCAGTCCCAGGCTCCACTACTCAGGCTTCACCTCCCAGTCTCAGTCACCTTGCCCAGCCAGTCCTAGTCAATCCCTCAAGGCTTGCTGTCCAGTCCCAGCCTCCCCCACAATCCCAGTCTCTCCCTTTCCCTAGGCCCAGTCCCAGTCTCCTTGTGCAGCCAGTCCCAGTTCCCACTGCCCGGCTCCTTGTCTGAGCTGTCTCTCCCCTCTGCTCACACTGGTTTCCAGTTCCAGTTTCCCTCCATTGGCTCCTCATTCAAACTCAGTTACTGCCCTGTCCCAGACATCCCCAGCTCCTTGTCCAGTTTCTTTGCCCAGCGATCAGTCCCAATCTACCCTATCCCCCACCAGCTCCCAGTCCCCTTGCTCAGCTATTACCAGTCTCCCCCACAACCCCCAGTGCCTGTTTCTCTCCCCACTCCAGTCCCAGTCTCACCATACTCCTTGTCCCAGGCTACTCCTTTCCTTCACCCTGGTCTGGCTTTTGTCTTTTCTGCATTCAAATCAGGCATCCTCCTCCTCTGTGCAGCCTGGGCCCCAGCAGGGGAGACAAGGGGGACATTGAGGGGCGGTTCCTTGCTCTGAGTTCTGGTTTTTGGCTCCACCCCAGCCCGGAGCAACTGGAAACATGCTCAGTTTTGCTCTGAGGGGATGGTGCATGAGCAGTTTGGGCAGCACTAGGAGCTGTGAGAGGCTGGAGCATGCTCAGTGAGGATGGGAGCTTAGGAGATTTTAGCTGTTAAGCTCTACCAGTCCCTGCTGAGCATGCGCAAATTGCACTTTTTCATTTGTAACAGGGCTGGGGATGGATCCCAGAAGTCCTGCTTGTCAGTCTCGTGCCTTATCCACAGCTCCATGCTGTCTTAGTAAATAGTACTCCTCCAAGGGACTGAAGAGAAAGCTCAGCCCAGGATTTCAGCTTTGAAGCTAACACAATGTGTCTCTGTGTCCAAGCCTGTAATTCTCTCTATTCATATCCCCCCCAGCCTCTCAGACAACGATTTGAAGGATGATGCAATGAAGAATATTTGCTCTGTACTAAAGCATCCAAACTGTAGGCTAGAAGACCTGAGGTAACTTCATGCTTGTTTTCTGTCTGTGTCCTCAAAATAATTCAGTGTCTCCAATTTCCAAATAAGTGATATGCCTGCAGTTGTACTGTCTTGTTCTGGGGTCTTGTCCGATCTTCAAAAAAGCTAAGTAGCATTGGACCTGATGAGTGACTTCCCAGTGACTTGCTGCATGAAGTGGGGATGATCACGTACTATGTGGCATGGCACTCTTCCCTTTCAGTCACTACTCAACTGATATCCCAGCAAGGGCTATGCTAATGAGAGACAAAACTTAGATCCCTCCTGAGTGCTTGTGACCATTAAAGTTCCCATGGCAGCCTTCACTAGATTAGAAGTATCAAATCTCATGACCTGGTCAAATTCTAATTGGATCTATTGAACTCTGTTTCCATAAATTCCCTCTGTTATTTCAGTTTGTTAGAAAAGTCTTCATTAACTGCTCTAAACTGTAATGTGATGTTGCTGTGCACTGTTATACAGTTTCTGTACTCCACTGCAGAGGTGACTGCATTTCAGTACTGAGTGAAATGATTCCTGTAAATAATACTATAATTTGTTAATTCTGAATGTCCAAATTCAGAATAGTTAAGATACAAACTCCTCTTGTCTTATAAAACATTGAGGGGCATGTCACTGGTAACCGGAGAAGCATAATTTTTCACAGATTTGCAATAACATACTGGATTTTCCCTATACCCTCAAAGCTGGTTGAACAAATTTCTATCTGAAAGGAATGCAGCAGATATAAACAACCAGGATTTTAGCAAAGCATTTGATACAGTGTATTGCAAATGACAGTATATAGCATGGAAGTGGGCGGAAGGGTAATGATAAATGGCTGATTATAAAGTTGTGAAGAGGCACTTTGTGGTTTACTCTGTGGACTGGAGTTAGGGCCCATTTTATTTAATATTTTAATGAATTGCTTGGAACAGGGAGTAAAGACCATGTTAATTACATTCAGAGATCACAGTACATTGGGAGGAGTTGCAAACAGCTTTGAGAACAGAAATGATTCAAAGGGTTTGTCTACACAAACTCTAACTGGAAAAGCTGAATCAGTTTTAATAGCTACTAAAGTCAGACATTCTTAAATCATCCATAACTTGCATCTGAGAGTTTTAAAAGACTGGCTGAGTGGATCACTGTACTGTTAATGTTGAATTTCAATACATCCTGGAACACTAGGGAAGTTCCAAAGGACTGGAAGAAAGCCAATGTTGTGCCAATTTTTAAAAAGAGGGATGACTCAGATAGTTATTGGTTTGTCAGCCTAACTTTGTTTCTGGGCAAAGTACTGGAATGGCTGATGGGGCAGAGAAGAGCCATGAGAATGCTTAAAGGATTGGAAAAGAAATTGATGGAGCTCAATCTGTTAGTTTAACAAAGAGAAGGTTAAGGGATGACTGATCACCGTCTATAAGTACCTACACAGAAAACACGGTAGGTGAGGTAGTATCTTTTATTAGATCAACTTCTGTTGGTGGAAGGCACAAGCTTTAGAGCTTCACAGAGCTCTTCTTCTGATCTGGGGAAGGAAGCAGAGTGTCCGAGCTAACTACAAGTTGGGACAGATTATTAATCAGAAAGGGTAATGCGATCCCTTCTGTCTTTAAAATATATGAATCTATGAATTCACATTAAATTATTTCAATGCAAATCTATGTGTGGATACTCTTATCTCAGAATATACACATACTATTTCAGTTTAGCCAAAAGCTTTTAAAACAATTTAAATTAAATCAAAATAGGATATTTCCAAATAAAAGTATCAGTGTTCACACAGACTTGTACCAAAATAACAAAAGATGTGAATTAAAATCAATTTAGTTATTTCAGTGCAAATCTATTTGCAGTCAAGCCTAAAGGGACCTAAAGAGATTAAAACCATGGGCAGGAAACAAGAAGTTCAGGTTCAACTTGTACAAACAAAGCTAACACATCCAAAGATAAATCATTCAAAATACATATACCCGATCGGAAGGAGAAACCTAGCAAGCAGGAACAGCTGAGACAGACTTTGCAATCAGTATGGCCAAGGCACTGGAGACTAGACGTTTGGGAACAATCGTACTCTAGCATCCTGGGCATGGACCAGATGCCTCATGTCTAACACTGGATCATAATTCAATGTTACGCTTCCTGGGACTGCCTTTTATTGCATTGTATTGGTCCCTCTGCTAGAGTCCCAAAGACACAGTCACATCCCAACATGCAGCCAGCTTGGCTCTCAAAAACACTGTGTCGTGCTGGAGCGTCAAACATGTAGTAAGTGAAAAGCTAACGTAACCTTTTCCTGTTTCTGCCTCATTCTGCTCCTACGGCTTCCATCCTTTCTCCGCATTGTGGCTCTTGCATTCCATCCTCATTTGTTTTTCATTCATTCTGATTTGTCTGCTCCTTCACATCTGGGTGATTCCTGGGGCCTCTCTCCTATTCTTTCTTTCATTCATTGTCCACGACTCCTTTCACCCGCCCTCCTGCCCCACTGTCTATTATTCTGGGTACTTTTTCTTTTTGCTTTGTCCTCCTGTTTCTTCTACTGTTTTATTTTCACTCCTTTTCCTGATTTGTCATTGTCTTTTTCCTCGTCTCCTCTTTATCTTGTCCTCCCTCTCCCCTTCACATTTTTCTCTCTTTTCTTTTCTGCTCTCTAGACTAGAGAAGAACATGTTCACAGAAGCAAGCTGTACAGACCTGGCCTCCGCCCTCAAGGAGAACCACACCCTCTTCAATCTTGATCTGACCAGAAACAAAGTGCGGAACAATGGCCTTTATGCCCTGTTAGAGGTGCTTAAGACCCCACAATGCAAGATTCAGAAATTAGTGTAAGTATTAACCTGACGGCGACACTTCTGCCTTAGGACACTAATGTCTTCTAGAGCATCAGCTTTTTGGTTAAAATGTCCCCCCCCCACCCCCACAAATTTCTGTGGAAAGTGTACACTTTTTTGCAAATTTTTAAAATTTTTTTAATAAAACCCAAATTTTTACTGAAAAACAGTTTTGACCAGCCCTGGCTGTATGCTGAGCACAATGAAACCCTGATCCTTGATCAACGTTCCTAGGCATTATCATAATATGAACAATGACAATAACAATACAGGGACGATGGTGGGGAGATGCTCAGATGGGCATAGGCGATTAGATATGAACTGTCAATGCAGCCCAGAGGCTTTTCTCTAATGGATTTGTCCAATGCTCTGATGCAGCCTCCAGGAAAATGGTTTATCAGATGACTCCTGTGAGAGGCTCTGCTCTGCTCTCTCCAGAAACTCCACCCTCCAGCATCTGAACCTGAGTGCGAATGTTTACACTGATCGGTGCGCAGAAGACATGCGTCGCCTTATCCGGACCAGCTGCAGCCTCACCAACATCAGGTAAAATGGCACCTTCTGGCTCCTCCCACAGTTCAGAATCAAAGTGGCTTTTGCTCTTTTTTTTAATGTCTCTCATGTATATGCAAATCTGTTGATTAAATTATCTGGTTATGCAAGAGGGGATGCCTGAGATGAGAACTGCGTTATGAAGCCTATCACCTCTTGATCCCAGGCCGGTGGGTGACCTGGGTGAGATAAATTGGCAGGTTTGATTCAGTCCCTGGTGCACAGATATCACACCATAAAAATTAACACCCAAACTGGCATCAGTTCATCCCCTTTGCTGGTAAACTCAGCAGAAAAGCCAGCGACTAAATGGGCCATAGATCCTGGACTCCCCACTCACTGCTGGAGGTGGGGGGATCTCTGCAGGCAAAGGATAGGGCATGCTGGCAGGGCCTGAGTGTGGGAGGGCTCCCTGTGCTGTGTCTGTTCTGGGATTAATCAAAGGATGAAGTCTTCAGGGCCATCAATCCAGTACCTTGTACTGTCATAACTCCTGTTCCCGCCATACCCCTCCCCAGTGGATTTATGAAAAAGAGTAATGATTGTCAGTGGAATTCTTTTCTGATCAGAGAACGGTCTGGGAAGGAGATGTTCAGGATTGGCCCAACCCATCTGACTTGCTATTGGATTCCTGTGTGCATACTCATTTGATTGACAATACATGAACTCTGGGGATATAGGGGAGAGATGAGCAGTGGTAATAGGAGTCTGGTGGTTGGGATTTAGAAAGTTTTTAGGCTATCTTGGTGGCTCAGTGCAGGAGACCAATGACGTCAATGGCCAAACATAGAATTTGGATTGGAGTTTGACTATATAATAGGGCCACATGGGCACCCCATTGAAGAGACCTCTTCTGCATCCACAAAGATTGATCAGAGGGACAAGAGCTGATCGCTTGACTACTCTAGTCTCTTCCTTTCAGGGCTCTTTTTCCCTCCAGCAAATGTATCTAGAGTTCTATACCATGCCCACTGGCGTGGTTTCTTTTTAGCATCTTCCCCGCCTTGCTTCCCTCCAATCCACCCACAATGCAGCAGCCAAAGTCACCTTCCTTGCTTACCAGTTGGACTCTACCACTCCTGTATTCAAATCTCTCCACTGACTCCTCTGACCTACAGTATCAAGTCACTTTCAGATTATGATCCTCACCTTCAAGGCTCTACTCTGGCTGATATCCCTGATCTTGTAGCTTATCAGATTCCACCTCACCCCTTTCACTTCACCAGCAGTTGCAGCCCCACTGTTCTTCGGTTACTTTCTTCCACTGTTGTGTTTGTGCCTCCTTCCATGCCATCTGCTATGATCTCTCCCAGTGTGCCAGACTCCCATCTTCTTTTCATTTTAATCCCACTGCTTCTGCAAGGCCCACGGATATAAATCTACCTCAATATCAAGCCAACATGGCTTCCTTCTATCACAAATATTAAAGGTTCTTTATGTCTGATTGCTGGCGGTTTTTTTAAATTGCAATGGTCATTGGGATAGGGACTTGGTCTCTTTAATCTCTTGTGCAGCTCCAAGCACCCTATTAGTGCTTAACAAATAAAGATAATAGTGAATGAATCCTGCAGTAAAACACTAGTGTCTGTCATGGAGTTGTTTTTGCAGAACAACTGTAAGGTGTGACATAGAAGTTAACTGTGACCTCTCAGAAAGACAAAGAACATAGAGTCCTGTAAACAGACTGATCCTGGAAGACAGATATTCCAGGTCTCTGGTAACACGCCCAATTCCTACAGGACTACTGTCCAAAGTTTGCTTTGTAACAGTACTAGAGTTATGCCCATTTGGGTTGTGGGTTCCCAGACAATAACCCTTCGTATTTTCCGTTTTGTTCCTAGATTGAGTTTGAACGACTTCTCTCCAAAGGTAGAAGAGCAGCTGAGGAGCCTGCAGAGAGAAGGCCTGAAGATTCATATTTAAAGGACTCTTTAATCTGACAGTGCTGCTGTACTCTTCCATCCTGTGAAATCAGCACTTGACTCGGGGAATTGCACCTGTCTGAATGCACTGCCTGGTTTAACAACCACTGGGATGATTCATTGTGGGAGTAACAAAGTTGGGGGATCAGCTACACATCGTGATACATGTAAAATGCCTGGAAATAACTTCCTGGAAACCCTGCCAAACTGTCCATCCCCAGCACTGGCGCAATGGGCTGCTCTTCTAATTCATTTCTTACTGCCATTAGTCGACCTGTCATTTGCTGGATTGAGATTCACTTACTCAGCAGATGGAACTAACCAATCTTTATCATGGGAAAACACTCAGCAAGCAGTGATCAATTATTTACAAGTGGGAAGCTCATCTGGATGATCTCATCGCAGTCACCTTCAGCGCTGGACAAAACACCTTCAACCTCCCTTTGTTACACAGACTTATTTATGATGTTCGGTTAACTTTTCTTATGCATATGTATTAGCGTGTCATTTCCATGTTAACTCTCCTCCTCTGTCAGTACAGGGTTAGTGTTAGTTCAAGGTGGGCTTTTCTAGCTTTTTAGTTACTTTATCTTTTCTTTTTCTCACAAATATGAGTACTCTTCAATTTCTTACATGTACACAAAATAAACATGATTACGCTGCAATTTCTTACACATGCACAGTTCTACTTATGTTTACATTGTTAAATATTATCAGAAAAGACTCTTAAAATTTACAGCAGGCTTCAATCAGGTCTAAATATGCTGTCATTCCCAACATAGTTTATTTCTTTTTGAATTCATTCCAAACCCATTGTTGTGATGGAAACTTCAAATTTGTATTGTTGTGTGACATGGCAACTACAGCAAAAAGAATTGCCATAAACCGAGTGTGATGCTGTGTATAAAGAAAGGTCCTTCTTTGAGCAGGGGGTTGGACTGGATGACCTCCTGAGGTCACTTCCAGCCCTGATATTCTATGATTCTATGACCTCTAGACAGGCTCACAGGAGAAACTCATCCCACCCAGATAGCTTTTCCTGTGGATGCCTCAGACAGCAAGGAGCCAATGGCCACCCCCTGTGATTCATCAAAACATGTAGGGGCATGTGATATGCTCATGTGACCCTCAATTCCATCTTGGACCAGTAACTTTCCACACACAGGGGCTGTGGGCTTTGCTTGGGACAGTAACTTTCCATGTACCTGGCAGAGGATATAAAAGGCACCTGAGACATCTCCATTTTGCCTCATTCTTGCTCCAATTCTCTGGACTGTGGATTTACAACTAAAAGGAGTATTTTGAACTATGGACTGAGCACTGTCCAATCTTTTGGAAGTTACCAGAGAGACTTTTGCAAGCCAGCTGTCTGTAACATCATTGCTACAAACCTGATCTAAGGACTTTGGAATCATTTATATGTATACATTTATATGTATCTATTAACTATTTTAACTCTGTTCTTTTCTTAATAAATCTTTAGTTAGTTTACTAAGGATTGGCTGACAGTGTGATCTTTGGGTCAGATCTGAGATACATATTGATCTGAGAGTAAGTGTCTGATCCTTTGGGATTAGTAAGAACCTCACATATGGTGAATTGGGTTTTCAATCACCCCTCACTATATTAGATCTCTGTGTCTGGATGGGAGTCAAGGTCTGGAGTGCCTAAAGGGGACTGTGTTTGGCTTCTGGTTAACCAGTGTGGTACTGCAGAGGCTCTTCTGCTACTGGCTTGGTGAATCTAATTATAGAATAAACCACCAGTTCTGGGGATTGTCTGCCCTATTTCTTGCAGTCTGCCCTGACTATAGCATTCTCAGTGTGGTCCATCCCAGGCACCCGGTCACACTGAGTGCCATTCTGCCCTTTAGAAGCCTGCACAGGGGATGGCTCTGCTTTACAGAGAGGACATCACAGCTCCTACACGGCTCTGGCTAGGACATTGTACTGAGATGCTGTTTCCTAGCAATGAGAGGCCAGCAGTTTGCATGTGTTTCTGTCACTCTGTCTGTAAAGAAGGGTGTGTCACGGACTCACAGATCGTGCCCACTCTTGGCCCCGTGCGGTCCGTGGGGGGGTGCCCCTTTCAGTGAGACAGCCCTTCTCGGGGGTCCATTCTCTCTCGGGGTTAGGCCCCCCCACCTCCTGGAGCCGCACCTCTCGGAGCTTTAGCACGTCTGTCTCTCACCGTGTGCCCCCTCAGGGAGTCCACTCGCTCTGGACCCCCGGGGCCTCCACCCCCCGAAGGGGTTCATGCAACCCTGTTCTCTAGATCGGAGTGACTCTCAGCCAGCGTAAAACAGGAGGGTTTATTGAGAGGTGAACACAGCACAGGAAACTCTCAGGGCCTCAGGCCTGGCCTCCCTCAACCCAGCACATCCAAGTCTCCCCTGCATCCAGGTGGGCTTTGCCTGCTCTCCCTCTCCAGCCCAGAGCCCCCCTGCTTCCCAGCTGGGCATCTGATATCACCGGCCCCAAGCCCCGCCTCTGTCCATTGTCTTCTCTCCAGGGAAATTGGGTTGTAAACCGGGTCGCCTGGGCCTCCTCTCCTTGGTTCTGTCCTCTGGTCCCCTCTGGCTGGAACTGGCTGGTTAGGTCACTGGGGTCATCTCTTTACAGCCCATGGTCCTCCCACTGGCCAGAACTGGCTGCGACTCCTGAGTTGCGTCTCCGGGTTGTCAGGTCACCAGTCGCTGGGGTGTCCATTCTCCAGGCCATCGGCTGGGGTCCCAAGTCCTCTCGCTGGTCCTCTGTAACAACAAACCCCCTCTCCCCTCACCTTGTTAAACCAGTAACACCCAGGGACACTGAGTCCCACTCCCTCTGCATGAAAATCCCCCACTTCGTCACAGGGTGACACTGGGGAAATTATTTAGGAAGTTGTGTTTGGGCACATCTACAGATGCGTGGCAGGTGGGTTTGGGGGTTGGTCCTGGTTAGCAGAATTGCCAAGTGCAGTGTAAATCATTAAAGAAACAACATTTGCCAACAGTTTTCTTTCAAGGGTTTGAGACATGACATGCTTATTTCCTGTTCGTTTCATACAAGTGTCTAATTTAGATGTTAAGTGGTTTATATTCTATTCCTGGTCTGTGTTTGTATAACTTAGATTGAAATTGGTGGCTTATAAACTGTTTAATAATGAAAATAATTACCAATAGCATTGCAGCGTGGGGTACCCCAAGCCCCAGCGCTCATGGAATCCCCGGCACCAGGCCCAGCGACTTGGACTTGGTGCAGGAGGGATTTGGGCTACCAGCTGTCTGGCATCACATTCCTCTCTTTCTTTGTTATCTCTCAGGCCTGGTCTACATTGGGGGAGGGGGGGAAGAGAATCGATCTAAGTGACGCAATTCAGCTACGTGAATAACATAGCTGAAGTTGACGTACTTAGATCTACTCACCGCGGTGTCTTCCCTGTGGTGAGTCGACTGCTGCCGCTCCCCCATCGACTCTGCCTGCGCCTCTTGTGCTGGTGGAGTACAGGAGTCGACGGGAAAGCACTCGGGGGGGTCGATTTATCGTGTCTAGATTAGACGTGATAAATTGACCCCCGCTGGATCGATCGCTGCCTGCTGATCCATTGAGTAGTATAGACATACCCTCTGATTTAAAACAGTGAGATTCCCGGATCTATTTTTTGCTTAGATCACATGGTTAATGATCTGGTATAGAACATCCTGTACCTTGCAGGCAATTTGTATGTTTTAAGCCTTGCCTATTGTGTTATCTGTCCATAAATTCTAATGTCATTTGTAATGTTTGCAGCACCAAATGCTGTAAATAAGGTTGCAACCTCACTACAGCAAGAAATCCTTGTTTTCACGCATAGAACATTTTTGACAATGTTCTTTCTCCAGCACATTTACTGTCTGAAGATAGTCCCATTGCTGGGTCTTGTGGCCCTAGCACAAAGCTCAGCAGGGTCTCCCAATGCTATAATGTTTTAAGGGCTGCTTCCCAAGTCCATATCAGCAGGTGGCATATGATGGCCCTGCAGCCTCCTTATGCCTCCAAATGTCAATTGCTTTTTCCCAGCCTCAGGTGAATAAGTGTAAGATTGAAGAGATGCACCACAATTCAGCGGCAAGCACTGCAGGTGGGTCCCAGTTACCACTCAGACACATGGCTAAGGGAAAGGGCATTTTACTAGGGCTCGCAGGAAAGGGAAAGGTTGCAAATACTCTAGGTACAGAGGCTTACAGTTAGAATTCAAAGGGAGCAAGAACGTTGCTTGTTTGGGTCCCTGGGGAAGTCCTATTGAGGGTCAGGGCTTTTCAGCTCTAGTGCCTGGGGTCCAGTCTCTATTTAAGCAAATAGGAGCTTGTGGATTTCCAAGACAGGCTCAGTTAGTGTCTCTCATTGGGGCCAATCTGCACCAGATCCCTGCACAGCCACTGCCGCTTCCCCACAAGGACATTGTGATAAGGCCTTCAGTGGCTGGGCAGCCTAGTGGCTGGATCATTGGTCGGGGGGCTGGAGGGGGACCTGACCCTGCTTCTCCACCAGGTCCTGGCCTAGGAGTCCTGTGTCGCTCAACCCCCTAAACAGCGGAGATGGATCTTTCTCCTGGCCAGAGTGTGTGTTCTGGACCTGTTTTCCCAGGCTGCTTCCTATGAAAGTCCTTTTAGTTTGGGGTGTGGCCTCGCTGGTCCCATTACCTCACAGTTGGGGCGTACCTGCAGGCTCTCCTTGGCAGGGGAAGGGTTACTTGCCTCCAGTGGCTGCATTGGCTGGCAGGTTGCCAGTCTGGTCCGTGCCTTCAGGCAGGCAAACCAAGAGCTCCTGCCTTTTCGCCAGTCAGCCCCTAACTGAGCCAGGCACCCTTCTTTTCTCCCCCCTCCAGGCCTGGCATTGGCTGCAGGTATAATGGGAGGAGGCTAGCTGAACCCACAGGTTTTCTTTAACCCCTACTGTGCCAGGCAGCAGTTTCTCTGCTCCTCCACAGACATGCACTCCCTTGTGAACAACCAGCCGCCACAGTCTGTTCCACACCTGGCTCTGCATGCATGTGGTTCCTGGGAAATCTTTCAGCCGCCATCGTCTTTGAATGAATGTGAAGTTAAAAGGAGTTTTGCACAGACTCTAAGAACACCACAGAGCTCAGAAGGGACTTGACAGTCTGGGGTAGTGCCAGAGTTAGAAGGGTAAGTGTTAAAGGGAATGCTGCTGGGTTTTTTTTTAAAGACCCCTAGTAAGTTCAATAAGAAAAAATGAGCAGCACAGCAGCTAACACTGCCTTTCAGAAGAACAGTCTAAGGGGAGCAGCAGAAGTATTGATATCTAAGTTGGCTGAGATTCAGAAAAGAATAAAGAAATCAAAGCAGCTGTAAAACAGAACTTTGCTAAAATACAGCAGTTCACAGAGCCCTGGCCAAAAAAAAAAAAAGGTTCTCTCACCTGTGAAAAATGTATTCAAAGCTGAAATACAAAAATGAAATGCCAGTTTAGAAATGTGAGTTGCTTCATTTAGAGGAGACCCACCGAAAAATGAAAAGGATATTTTGATAGCCGAGGTACTTGTGCAGTATGTCTCAAGGCTGGTCTACATGTAAAATGCTGCAGCAGCACCGCTGTAGTGCTTCAGCGAATATACTACGTACGCCAACAGGAGGGGTTCTCCCATTGTCATAGGCAATCCACTTCTCCGAAAAACCGTAGCTAGGTTGGGAGACTTCTTCTGTGGACCTAGCACTTTCCACTTTCTATTTTCCACCCCTGCGAGCGATGTAGTTATACCAACCTAATTTGCTAGTGTAGACCAGGCCTCAGATAAAAACCCTTTTCCAACAGCCAGTTGGGAGGCTCCCTACCATGTAAGGACAAGCTAGTCCATCAGTATATCTGATTCAGGTAAAGCATGAAGAAGAGGTGGTGAATCAATGGTTGCACCCTATGCAGCTGAAAGCATACAGAGGGAAGCACAGAAGTGAATCTATCGGTGGAAAAATAGGGAAGCGAGAATATTTGTTTTCTCTTTCAGGTGTTGATCACCACGAGAGGCATAAAATGGGATTCATGGAGTTTGGGACACAGCAGAGAAACGAGGTGGTGACAGTGCGCGGGGGGAAGAATGCCACCCTGGCCTTATGGTTTCCGGGTACTCATGCAGGAAAGTCTATGGTGTTCTGGTACAGACTGGACTGCAGC